CGAATGATGTCGAACGCTGCTGCCACTTCAGCATTGGGGTACGCGCTTGTAGCCTGCACCTCGTCTAGATGATCCTCCTCGTCACATGAGCTGTCGGCTTGGATATTGCAGTCTGCTTCCACGAAGTTGTCCACACATACTTCATGAGGAACTGCTGCCAGGAAGCAGGACTACAGCTCCTGGAATGCGTCATATATCGTATTTACTTGCATAATCCTTGCTCTTTTTTCGGCTGAAAACTGATGCAATTTGGAGGGTGCGAAAATTACGCGGGGAAAACTTTCCACGAAAACGTACAGGGTGAAGAAAAAACAAAACAAGTGGATGCTAATTGGGATTCTCACACGAGCAACTAACAGCAAGCTATGAGAAGTACTAATCAAAATTTACCTCAACCATAAAAGCACAGGTTCTACACAAAGCAAGACTTATTTGAGACACAAAAAGTACAAGTAAATAGTCGAGAATTAGAATACCATACCCAAAACTTGTGGGCGTTGCGGGCATAGCGGTAGCATTTGTCACTCAACAGGAGCTCTCAAAAGGTAAGCGTCGGTTGTCAGTAATGGGCTGATGGCTATTTAACAGTATTGTCTGCAGTTTCCTTATGAAGAAATAAAGTTTACCATCAATCCCAGTCTTAGGCACACAGCAGGCCCAACGCGTCTTGGTGGCTTTCAGCTGCCGTCACCAGTAGCCAACTCAAAACTCGTCGACTCCGAAGGGCCTACCGTCGGCCCTGTTGACGTTGTTTAGTGCATGATCAATCTCTTCCAACTTGAAAGCAGCCGTGTAGCTTCAGTATCACCCCTTAATGTGACAAGATTAGCGACACAGCATACAAAACACGCCGCAGCGTGCACTTGCTGCTTTAGCTTGGCTTAGGTTAGATTGAATCTCTGTGCAATAATATTTCGCTTGATGCTTAACAGATGGCGCCAGATGGCAGGCACTATCATCATCAACGGCTGTAACAAGGAGACGACATTATTGCGGCAAGTTTCGAAGGTACGATAATTACTCGAGGGAAAAAAAAACTTATTTTTGTTGGGCGATGTGAGGGGTGCAAGAATTGTGCGAGTGCGAGAATTACGTGATTAAATACTGTATGCACTCCTCGTCATCTTTACTGGTTTCCGCAAGTTACACCGTCTCGAAGCCTGCCTTGCGTAAGGTAGTGTGTCCATCCTAACGTCTTGCCAAGCATTGAAGATCTCCACGGGAGAAAACTACGCGCAGATTTCTGGCCACTCCATCATCCACCTCTGGATGCTTTGACTGCTGACAGCTTCGCTTTCACCAGAATTGGTTTTGGAAACAATGTTGTAGCGCTGCTTAAATTGGTGAAGCCACCCGCTGTTGTAGACAAAGTTGTTTGATCGAGTGCAGCGGCAAATCATTTAGCCTTGGCGATCAGCATCGGGCCATCCACTGGAATGTTATTTGCACGCACTTCTAGAACCCTGGCATAGAGTGCCTTTTCTACATTCCCATGGGCAAAAGCGCGCACATGACAGGCTCCCGACGTTCGCTGCTTCACCGCCTGTGCCTTGATATCTGCCTTGTTTTTCAACAAGGTACTCGGAGTGCTCCGTGGTATCCCGAAGTCATCCCCGACAGTCGAACATTTCTTGCCCGCCTCAACCTCTGAATAGCCTTCAACTTCGTCACAAAGTCAAGGGTCTTGTGCTTCTTGACGCTGACCATAGCTGCACGAGAAGTCGACAATTCAAGGAGTCCGCAGCGGTTTTGCACAATACGCATGCAAAAGAGAAATGCTGCACATGTGGTGGTACGTAGGCGACACGACAGGGGAAGCAACAAAGCTTTGCTCGCGAGGCGATGGCACAGAACACCGATGGCGACCTGCGAGGGCAATAGCAAAAGGCGCGAGCTGTGGTTAGCTGATAGAAACTTGCAAAACAGCAAGAAAAAAAAGAAAACGTGAAAGGAGAAGGAGATCGGCTCCTTCGTTCAGGAGTTCTCCGAGCAGAGAAAGCATGAGGGAGAAAAAAAGAAAAGAAAAAAAGCGGTTTCACAAGTTATAAATTGTTTTGGGTTTTGACGGAGGCGTGGTGCCATGCAGAGGTCGCCAAATGCTGCAAGTCAAAGCTTTTAACTCACCCACTCGCGCGTGGAACTGCACTGCCATGGAGATCGCGGGGGGGGGGCTGCCGAAGTGCATCTTCCAGCTCGTGCGGCGTTCGATATATCTGAAGGTGGGTAAAAGTACCGTTCGATATCAGCTTGCAAATTTCTATACTTTTACAAAAAAATTTTTAGAGGCTAACGTACGAGTTCGATATACCCGAAAATTCAATATATGTGGGTTCGATATAACCAGGTTCGATTGTATCAGCTGATTGTTCGGAATGGCTCATTGCTGAGTTAATAAAGTTAAACACGTATCGATGAAGCTGCTTTCAGCGTCATGTTTAAATGTGATGAGGGCAACGTCAGACCAATTTATACTCGAAAGAAATGAGTCGCCAAATATGAAAATTGTGGTGTTGGGAAACTGAGATTTTAGTGATTGTAGTGCATTATGGAACACAGATGTAAATGTGCTGTGGGAATCTGGTAGGCAGATTTACAGCACACAAACAGCATGTAATGCACTAAATACCAGATGTATGCACAAGGAAGGCAAAGTAACTACGAATATGGATAGGATAGCCATAGTAGTGGAGCAGTTTTACAGGGATTTGTACTGTACCCAGGACAACCACGACCATAATGTAAGAACTAGCCATAACCCAGATGACATCCCACCAGTAATGACAGAACAAGTTAGAAAGGTTTTGGAGGGAAGGCAAAGAGGCAAAGCTGCTGGTGAGGATCGGGTAACATCAGATCTGCCGAAAGATGGAGGACAGATTGTGTCGGAAAAACTAGCCACCTTGTTTATGAAGTGCCTCCTGACAGGGAGCGTACCAGAATTTTGGAAGAGTGCTAACATCATCTTAATCCATAGCAAAGGAAATGACAAGGATTTCAAGAATTACAGGCCGTTCAACTTACTCTTCATCGCATACAAGCTATTTACAAAGTAATTGCTAACAGATCTAGGACAATATTGGAATTCAATCACCCAAAGGATCAAGCAGGATTTCAAACAGGCCTATCAACAACCGACCACATTCATACTATCAATCAGGTACTGTATTTACTTGATTCTACCGCGCCCTTGATTGTAACGTGCACTCGGTTTTCACGACGAAAAAAAACAAAGTAAGACATCGATTGCAACGCGCACCCATTTTTCTTGTTGGCCCGCACGATCACACTACTCGGGAAAATGACTCCTTTCGGGAGCGTCTTCCATTTAAATATGAGGTTCGGGGGAATCTTGTGCCTATCTGACGTGCAACAGAGCATTGCCGTCATTCTTGTTTTACCGTGGCCTGATGTCAGCATGCAAACTTGCTTCGCCCCCTTCTTCTCGCCGGTTGTGGTGCCAGGCATGTCCAAGTAAAGAGGCGCCTGATCGGCATTCCCGATTTGCCCAAGCAGGTAGCCGTTGTTGTGCCGCAAGTTTAGGACAAAACCTCTGAAAACTGTGAAGCTTTTCTTCGTACTCCTCCGGCAAGTTTTCGGAGGGAAAAAACCGCTTAACCGGAAAAAAGGTGCACGTTAGATTCGAGTAATTAGGGTAATAGAGATGTGCTCAGGATAGAGCCAACCACTATACATAGCCTTTATAGATTATGAGAAGGCATTTGACTTAGAAATATCAGCGGTCGTTCATGCAGACACTGCAAAATCAGGGCATCTAGAAAGCATATATAAACATCCTGGAAGAAATCTACAGGGGATCAACTGCCACCATAGTGCTCCATAAAGAAAGCGACAGAATACCAATGAAGAAGGGTGTAAGACAAGGGGATACGATCTTCCCAATGCTATGTACCACGTGTTACAGGAGATTTTCAGAGCCCTAAAATGGGAAGATTTAGGTATATTAATGGAGAGTACCTTAGTAACCTATGGTTCACCAATGACATTGCATTGCTGAGTAACTCATGAGACAAATTGCAATACACGATTACTGAATTAGACAAGGAGGGCAGAAAGGTAGGTCTTAAAAAATCTGCATAAAACGAAAGTAATGTACAGCAACCTCGGTAGAGAACAGCACTATGAAATAGGTGGAGAGACGCTGGAAGTTGTAAAGTAATATCTCTACTTAAGACAGATAGTTACCGCGGAGGCGAACCATGAGAGTGCAATAACCAGAAGAATGGGGTGGATCACATTTGACAAGCATTCTGTAATCATGAATGGTAGATCATTATTATCAATCGAGAGGAAGGTATATAACAGCTGCATCTTGCTGGTACTTAGCTGCGGAGTAGAAACCTTGAGGCTTACAAAGAGGGTTCAGCTTAAGTTGAGAAGGTGGCAGCTAGTGATAGAAAGGAAAATGATAGGTGTAATCTTAAGAAACAAGAAGAGAGCAGGATGGGTCAGGGGACAAACCAGGGTTAAAGATATCATAATCAAGAAGAAATGAACATGAGCTGGGCAAGTAGTGCGTAAGCAAAATAACTGTTAGTCATTAATGATCACATACTGGATTCCAAGAGAAGGCAAGCGGGTGAGAAAGAGACAGAAAGTCAAGTGGGCAGATGAGATTAGGAAGTTTGCGGGTAAAAAGTGGCAGCAGCAAGCACAGGACTGAGTTGACTGGCGGAACATGGAAGAGGCCTTTGCCATGCATTGAGCGTAGTCAGGCTGGTGACGATGATGTAGTTTGCTTGCATTTGTGGCTGACCCAATTTCGTCTCATACTGTGTTTTGTTTTTGTGTGGCCATGCCATGAAAGAAAGTTGTGCCGCATGAAAACTTCCTTGTACTATGCATCATCTCTGAGAATAAAATCATGCATAGATCATGCAAAACGTGTCACAACAAAGCTAGTTAATGTGGAACAGTGTCTTGTCTAATCCTACTGATGTATGCAGTATCATGAACGCATTGATTTGAACCGTGTTGCGCAGGTTGGACGCATTCCCGCTGGCGGGTGCGGCCACACCACTGCCACCAAGCCCCCCGTTTCCTTCTTTTCCGGGTCTGAGCCCCCACACGGGTCCCGGTTGGGGAAGCCTGCCGATGGGCCGGCCACCACCACCGGCAGACACGGCCAGCCCTCGCTATCGCCTCTACTACCACCTGTCGTCCATATTCCCTGAGGAACAGGTGCGTGCCGCCATGGACCTCTGCCCCGAGGAGACCAATCCACAAAAAGTGTGCGCAGCCATCCTCGCCATGTTTCCCAAGGGTTGACCACTGTTGTTGCAGAGTGTGTGCATTGCTGCAGTCTTGTTTTTCTGCCACCGCAGTTCCTCTGTCATGAAAAGTGATGAAATGCTCCACCTGAATGTGGGCACGGTTGTTGTGTACAGTGCCTCGCAGAGAATGACGCAAATGTAAACGAGTGTATGTGTACTGCTGTCCTCCGACGTTCTGCAAGAGCTTGCTTCTAAAAGGCCACTGCAGGAGTGTTCCTCTCCTGCAATTGTCTACAACCGATCTGATCCCCTGGGCTGCTCAAAAGAAGCTTTTCTTGGTGAGCCCTTGGTGCTCTCAGGTATGTACAGGAGGGGTTTCACGTTTTACTCCTCCCTTTTCGAGAAGTCCACACTTGCGTTATGTTTATGGGCAGTACTCTCATTTCCTGCATTCGTTCAGAGTGACCATAATTGTGAGGTCCAGTCGTGATCTGTTGTGTGTGCAGAGATTTGTTAACAGCGAGTTAGACAATACTGCCTGAGCTATATTATTTAACCAGAAGTGATATGCTCTCATGAGATACATTTGCTATTCGGCTTGACTATTAATTATGAATGAAACGGCATTTGTAAACGATCATGACACAGAATGGGGACTGCCATGTGTCCCCATCCTGTGTCCCAGTCCTTTGTATTTCGTTTGATTCAGAGTAGTACACCGACAAGCAAGTTTTCAATACTGTAAGCTTGACTATCACTTGTGAGATGCTGAATTATTGATAGCCATAGCCTCACCACAGGCACTGTGACTCAGCAGCATGTATTTGCACCCTCTGTGACAGCACCACAATGCTGACAGTACTGTTGGCCAAGTGCTTGAGCACTGCTCTGAAACATAAGCTGTGTGTAAAACTTTATGATGTGATGTCGCTTCCTCTTAGCTTGCCACGGCATGTTACAGCATAGTGCGCGTTGGTCCCATGAGGAGGAGCTGTATACTGGGAACCCTGCAAATCAGGTTTGCATCTGCAACCTTTGGACTTGGACCGTCATTTTTGTCGACGTTCCTCATCTGTGCATAGGGGGCTCACTTAAGCAGATGCAGCTTCAAAGCTGATGCCACGTTCTGTGGAGCAGTGTCAAGTCTGATGTGGGAGCTTGGCATGTAGTGTGTTCTCAGTGCGCTTGGAAACAATCTTTTTGATCTGTGAACACTTCTTATTATTACTTAGGCACAGAAATTTCTGAAGCCTATGCATTTGTAGCCACAAAGACAGTCACTTCACGATACATTGGGTGGATGGATCTTGTGTGGTTTGTGTGCTGAATTTTGTTTTCATTCACTGAACACTAGGTGTCGGGGTATCACAGCTAACAGTCGGCATTTTCCGGGGCTGGGCAAAACACTCATAGTCAAACAAGAGAAAAATCTCTTGGTGTGCATGAAAGCTTTTGCCAAGATTTGCTTTTTTTTTGTTTGCTCGGATGGAACATTTCTCAGTGGTTTGTTTTTGCTGGCAAGTTCTCATAGCATGTTTCTGATGCAAGGCCACAAGAACAGAACTTCAGGTTGAAGTTTGACTTGTTCTTTATGCCAGTGGAAGGTTCCGCATGGCTTTTCTCTCGCTTTGCTAAGCTTTCACTTCGGAGGACCAGCACGTAACAATAGAGGCTGCAGTAATGTGTCAAGGGGGAGTTTTTCAAAGTTAACATTAAAACATTGCTGCCACTTTCTTCTTTTGTACACCAAGCCTTTCATGGTCATTTTCACTTTTGTACGTCATGTGTCTCGTCTCAGATGTGCGATGCGTCTTGCTGTGAGCACATATTGCAATTTTTTATGGCTTGTGTTCCCATCTTTTCTCTAGCTTATGACAGCAAGAGTTATGCTGGCCTGTAACTTTGGCAGGAAACGAGTTTGTTGTGATGCAGATGCTTGCTAGGAATGCAGCCTACCAAGTAGCTAGCTCAAGCTCACAAGAAGGAAGTATGTGACAAAATGCACCAGTACTGTCTGCATTGTACCGGCCGAGGAGCATGCTGGCTGCATATTAATAAAAGTGGCTGCAAGCGTGCTTCAATTTAGCATTGAGCAAGCATTGCTTCAGAAGAAAAACCGCTTGGGGATTTCTAACTCCATTTGAAACCACTAGAATGCAAAAAGCGCATTCGGGGAATGGAAGGACTCGGACATGCGCTGACGGGCAAAGCCGGTTTTGATTCCTAATTTGTAGTAAAGTGAGGTATTGAGAAGGCCATGTAGCGGATGGACTAAATCAACAAAATGGTTGTTGTGGGATTGGATGCACAGCAGGGGAATACGTAGTGTGATGAGTTCGCAACAGGTGCATCTCAAAGCGCGTGTTCTTCACGACACGGTTGCTTTGTTGTGTCTCCGCACAAAAGAAACAGTGGAGCACAAAAAGGGTTGTTAGGCTATTATGATTTCTTGAATAGGATTAAAGAGATACTGACACAAAAATTTGGGCCTCGCATTTTTTTTTTTTTTTTTTTTGCTGCTATGTGTTTTTTTGGGGGCCTGTTAGTCATAACACAACCCATCGCTTTCTGCAGTGCATGACAAGTAATTAATACAGGCTTGTTATTACCGACCAGTGTCCGTCTCGGTTTCAAAAACGAGGAGCCATTGGGTACAACTATCACCTCCTAGTGGGTGCAACACTCGACCATGTCAGCACACAGAACTGTGATGCTCGTCTGTGTGATTCGCATCAAGGAGTTTTTCAAACTGGAAATGTGACAGCAATGCCATCAAACACGAAACTTTCAAATAGTGTGCCATGGCCACAGACTCGCAAGCAGCTGCGAAGTAATAGTCTGCTGGAGCAAACGCGACCAATGAAAAATGGCAGCTATGACGTTGTCGTAACTTGCTGCAGCGTTGTCTGCTGCAGGGAAGTAGGCGGTACGCAAAGGTCGCCTAAGAGGGTGTCAATAGTGCGGAGGAGTCGGTTGGTCACGCAAACTTCAAAAATTAATTTAAAATACCTTCTGAGCTATATTTGCTGTTGATATTTTGCAGATGTTATACACATGTTCACAGCATCGATCCCGCAGGCTATCTCGGCCACAAAATTTTTGTTGGTACCCCTTTAAGTAAAGCCCGCAGAACTTGGTAAAGTTGTGCCATGCTTTTAAGCACCTTTTCTCCCTCTCCCACCTTCTCCGATGCATCGTGTGGTACTGTGCGCTCCATCACTCGTCACTTTTCATCACCATGAATGCTGCTTTTTTGGACGCTGAAACGAAGCTACTCATGACACCATCCTGTTGGCATGTGTTGCATCAGCTGTAGTCGTATAGTTCCGATAGATCATTCAGAAATTCGTGGCATATCCCCCTCAAAAAAGTTGGGCGCCCACTAACCGGCATCAATGGGCACGCACTCCAGATTGATGCAATAGGCGAGACGGTCGGTGTGTGCATGAGCAGAACTTTTTTTATTTTTTTTGGTCGTGGAGGCTGCCGGGCTTTGGTCATTCAGATGGTCCACTCTTTTTAAAGGGAGTGAAACGATTTTTTGTGTCCAGTAAAGTATGATTTCACAATCCCGAAATTACCACTTTTATCACGACTCGACGATTGGCAAACGAACAAATGCACAAAAAGAAAATGCGGGTGGAGACGCCACTTTCAAATTCCTGAACCAAACATTGTAACATCATACATCTTCAAGGTGTCTACTGGGGTCCTACGTAGCCTTTAATCCACAAAAATGAAGTATATTGTCATTTGTGGTGCCATAGACCAAGCATATGAAGTTTCAGAAAATTTTATAGGGCCTATGTTGCAGAAAATACATTTTGAAATTTTCGACATCACACGTGAAGATTTTGGTTGAAATTTAAAAATGAAACTTGAGCCTTGATTTTCTCTGCTAATAATGAACTTAATATGACAGTGAAATATCTAGAGTGCAGTCACTGTTTCTCTGTAGTGTCCCATTGAGGGAAGATGCAAATCAAATCATGTTGATTTGCTTCCCTACTTTCATGACAAAAAAAGCTGAATATTGTGATTAAACACAAAGTAGGTTAACATTGCTTTTCAAGAGCACAGAGTAGCTACCTAAAAACCAAAAATAAATGATCCTCTAGAGCCCCAGGCAAATTGTCGCCTGGCTACTTGCCATTACATTTTGTCTGGGGAGCTCCCTTAAGCCACATGTGAAAAATAACCATGATTGCTAGCTAAGTTCTCATGATGGAAGAGATCAATTTACGAAACAAATCTTTACGGTATAGATGAGCTTTCACTTATACCTTTAAAATACATTTTTCTCAAGATAGTTCTTGGGCAACTTCTTGAGTTTAGACATCATGTTTTTGGTACGTATGATAGCCGACCAGGTGAAATTTTCCCCGCATATTCTTTTACCTGTGAAGGGTGCAAATATCTTCCTTAAAACTTGATATACCTTATATAATTGGTATGAACCTAAAGTAATCAATTGGTATGGGCTGAGGATTCTAAGAATGCTCATATTACTGGTTTTTTTGTCCTTAGCAATGGTTTATATGCACTTTCATGACAGTTATTTGTACTCTACAGTTAATGTAGAGCAATATGAGTCATTAATGGCTCCGAACCATAAAAATTTAGTAGCATATACAAACTTACACATTTTCATGGCACGAAACAAAAACTGTGCAACTTACTATAGAACTAATAAAGTATTGTAAATCGACATAAAAGCCTATATATGCAGCAAAAGTTTCATTACCGTAGGCTACAGATTAACAAAAACTTTTTTTTTCGATTGGCATCTTCCTTTAAGTTGTATCTAACTACAGGGGTGTGCGAATATTCCAACTTTCAAATATTTACAATTCGATTCGCACCCGAATTTCACTATTCGGACTTCTGAAAGATAAGTCTGTCAACGTCCGATTGACATTTTGCACTCCCTATTCAAACCGCGAAATCATACGAAAAATTGGGCTTTTTGAGAAGACGAATACCTGCTTTTTTATTTTGCTCAAGTGGTCTATCGCCACAGCCGTGTATGAAATAGATGCCTTCAAATACACTTGTCAAGCATTCTGGTGTAAGCACTGGCTCTCATGATACTTGCCACGAACCTTGCTGAACCACACGCCCATTGCAAATGGGCTAATCAAAGTGAACAATTGGGCCAGTTGGTGATTCATGATTGATGTATACTGCGTGGAGGAAAATTGGACGATAAGTAGACACGCATACTTATTGTTGATACCAGCATTATGTCTCATGCATAGAGCGTTTGAAAGCATGTGGCTGCAGAGCAGACGGCTTTCCCCTATGCATGTGCACATACACACAGCCAAATCTTCGCTGATACGCAACTTTTGCTGTCACGTGAACTCGATTGTTTGTAGTTGTGTGCAGCACAGTGCCAACTAAGCTGAGGTATTGGGCATATAGTACAGTAAATGGAGTATACAATTTCAAATCCAAGCGTATAGCAAGTGCCCTGTCGTTGTCAGGGCGCATTCGGCAGTCTCACATCTCACACAAAAAGGCAGTATGAATGACACCGCGGTGCAGTGCACTGGGCCACTGAGCTGACAATCGTTTGTCAGCAATTAAGCCATACTGCCTTTGCCCATTTCTGGTGCTTTTCAATGTGCTTCACCGCATTACACTGTGGCAAAGCTGCTTCTGGCTGCAAGCAGATCGACTCGGAAAACCGTTGGTTTGAACCATCTCGATGTTAGATGCAGCAGAGGTGGAGGCTTTAATACTTTTCCGGACCTGCAATTTGGGCAGAAAGTGCATGCCAAAGAGTTTCAGAGTCCGAAATTTCGTATGTTCTTATACATTAGCATCTTTGGAGCTGGTGAAAGTGAAGAAAATTCAGCCTCTGCTTAGCCTCATTCTTGATAGAACAATGAGGGAAAACCACTTAGCATCACTCCTCCAGTGCTTCACGAATAGAGCCAAAAAAAAGGAGCTTTTATGTTCCTGTCTCATGAATTTTTCTTAGAGATCCTGTGCATCCTTTTTGTAATTTCGCTTGAAAGTATCCTAAACATAATCGAGAAATATTGTAAATATACTCTACTGAATTCGCACTCAAACTTTAATATTCAAATTCGCTTCACACCCTAAATTTTGCTGTTCGCATGCTCTAATATGAATGCATTGAATCGGAATGAAGAAATTCAGGCTACTATTTTTGACGCGGCTTAATTCATGAGTATCTCAGGGTGGTATGGTACGTTAACTCAATGGGGTTTGCACAATTGGCTGCATGCTATAACATTTTAAACAGGTGAAAACACAGCTTCTGCAGAACCTTTACTTTGTATCAACAAGACACTGTCTGCTCTTTGTACACCAAATTGCTTAAACTAGTGGTTACACTTCTTGTGCCCAACATTATTAACGCAGACTAAATAAATAGGGCTGCACGTGAATAGGAGTGAGATTTTGTTTGCCAAACTTTGTGGATTCAGCCCTCCCCTTTATTTAATAAAAATAAAGCATGGCTCAGGCACGAAATTTCACGACAGGATTTTAAATTGCACATATTTTGGTTGTGTGCTTGCTTTTTACAGCTATTTGGACTTGTTGCCTCTTTACTGCTGGCTGTCAGGCCGAGGATTCACGAGAAAAAGGTATACTATGTACCTCAGCACATGTTGCAGGCCTCATCAAGATGCATGGCATGATCATCACCAGACAATGTCACAAGCATAGAGTTTCCTAAATATACACTTGAGGGAACTTTGGCACTAGTGGCTATGGGAGCTGCAACGCACGGCGCTTCAGTGAGCATGGAAACGACGGGTAGTAGATGGATTTTTCTCATTGTTGTACTTCTGGCTCCGTGTGTGTTCATGTGGCTTGGAGCTGTTTTCTCATGAAACAAAAATCAGCAAAAGTTTGAAAGGGTTCGTTCTTTCTTTCAAAACAAAGCCGAAACACAGCAATAAAACGAAGCCACAAGTACGATTCGCCGCCAGTAAGTACAAAGACTAGGCTAATCTCTGTACTACCCATCATTCCCATGGTTGCTGAACGATCGCAGAGCCAGAGTCTCCTCTAGTTAATTTTAGGAAACTCTATGGTCACAAGTTTTGGAGATAAACAGGTAATTTCCCAGCGCTGTTGGCCGGTAAAGACTTAGTAGTGCCAGAATCCACCATGTGTGCGCATGCTTGGTACAAGCATGAGTGAAAAGCACGTTGTGGTACTTCTGAACCTTCTCATGCCGCCTTTGTGCATCAAAATGGTACACCTTGTGAGTTCACCTGGCAAGATTGATGAGAATTATCCGAACATTTCAGAGGGTTTTCTATATACTGTGTCGTTACGCAAGTGTGGACACTCTTATTGTGGAATAGCTATCAAAACAACAGAATAGTACGCTTAATATACACTCAAACCTCATTATAACAAAGATGGGTTTTACACAAAAACAAGTTCCTTATATCCAAAAATTCGTTATAAAGGTCGCTATCTACTGCAACACTTTTTAATTTACTTTGTTATTACCAATAATTTGTTATATCCATGCCCATTATACGGAGGTTTGAGTGTACCTATATTAGAGCAATTTTGTGCCATAAATTAAGATACTTCAGCAAGATTGCAAGTAGCTAGGTGCAGCGTAAACTTAGAGATGAAAAATTACAATGCACACGTGGATTACCAACACTGTTAAGTGCCAGTACTTGACCCTGTGTGCATTAACTCTCCAGCATGGTCGAGGTGGGAGCGTAAAATGAAAGAGGAGATAGTCACTACTTTACCAAGTTTCAGGGCCTTTAGGATGAAGCCAGCTGACGTAAAACTGAAGGGCCTGAGTCTATGCGAAATCTATTCTGCGATTGGTGTTGCTTGTAGCCACTAGTGCAATTTTTGGATGCCACATACTGCCCATTGGACGTGTTAAAGTGAACACTTTGTGACACTGCCAATTTCGACGCTTGCCTGTTTTTCAACCAAAATGTATGTGATGCAAAATCCACAGCTGCTGAGCTCTTGGTCGAAGAGATAAGGATTGCTCACGAGTTCTCGGTTTTAGGATGCACAAATGAAGTGAGCGTTGTGTACAGCTGCTGGGCTTTGGCCCTTGGAGCACTCTTGTGATGAGATTACTTCGCAATCCACTTCATCCCGACTACCCAACTTCAAAAACAATAATACTAATTGAGGGTCGTGTACAATGCAGCAGCCTTCGTCTGTCTACAGTGCCGCTCTGCAGTTTTTTGCACTGTCTCGGGCTGAGCAAAGCATTGTGTGAATGTGTGTGAGTTTGTACATTTATATGTTTATACTGAGTCACAAAAGAATACTGCGAAATGGGAATTACAAATGTCTGTTATTTCAAGTGTTGCGCTTGGTGGTTGCACATTTCCACAACATGCTTGTAGAGTACGAACATTGCAAAATGAGCATTTCACACATTCAAGTTTCATTCTTAAGGTCTCGCAATGCCAGTTGTGCAGGGTGGTTTGGGAAATCACAAGTTTCATTGAAACGGGTGCATCACATGGCATGATGCAAAAAAAAGAAGACGTTGTCCTTGCAACACTAAGCAAGGAATTATGATAAGTGCCACTTTCTTACGTATACAGCTTGAACTATGTTGACATTTGCTACGCAGTTGAATTACTAACTTGTGTTGAAGCATTTGGAAAATATGGGTGTGCCATGTCCATGTACAGATAGGAAGAATGGTGGTAAAGCAGCACCCATTGGGATCTCCTTAGCAGTTTT